CAGCGGCCATGTTGGGGCCGGAGGGGAGCGGGGGGAAATGCGGAGCGTTGGGGCTGGAGGGGAGCCCTGGAGAGCCCCTGCTCCGGGCTGGAGCGGGTCACCCCGAGCAGGAGGCCGGCACCGTGTCCAGGTGGCCCCTGAGCATCTCCAAGGTTGGAGGTGCCACCACTTCTGGGCAGCCTGTGCTGGGCTTCAGCCACCCCCATGGTGAAGAAGGGGTTTCCAGTGCTCGAGGTTGTGCCCGATGCCTCTCGTCCTGTCACACAGCCCCTTGAGCACCGTTTAGCCGCATCATCCTAACATCCGCCTCCCATTTATATTTTATATTTATTTATATTCATGGATCGCATCCTCCCCACGCCGAGCAGTCCCAGCCCTTGCAGCGGCTTCGTGTGCGAGATGCTCCATCCCAGCATCTCTGCAGCCCTTGAAGGGATTTCGAATCCCCGCTAGACATACCTGAGCCACTGATCTGCAATCAGCTTGGGTACCTTTCTTGGAAATGAGTTGCCTGAGTTCCTTTACCTGTGATTTCCACATAGTGACCACAAGAGCAGCTGTTTTTATTCCTAGACAGCCTCTGTGGGATCTACACTAACTGCTGAAAATTCCTGCCCGGAAAAATTGAAGCCTCTCCTGTGCTGTGTGGCATTTATTCAAACCTAGTGTTGCCTTGACAAAGGGAGGGGATTTTGACATCAAACACCAGGGGTGATAGGCCTTTAAAACTGATGAAAAGTATCTTATTATTATTATTGTGAGATAAAAAAGTATATCAGTAGAAAATCGCAGAGATAAATTATGCATTCAATAACAAACTAGGGGAATTGATTTTGCAACAGCCTTTTGAAGAGATACAATTTGGAAAGGATTTTTTGAACGAAAAGTTTGTTTCGATAATTGAGACCAAAATGAAGCGTGTCTGGCCAGCAGGTTTTCCTGTGTGGATGGACACGAAAAGGCAAATGTTAGTGATGCCAGACAGAAGGAATGGCGAGACCGAAGGATAACCTGGGTGAGAGGCCTGAGGAAGGGCCTGGGTCGGCAGCGTCCTGCTGCTCCTGAGGGGGCTTTGGGGCTGGCGGAGCGGGAAGCCGAAAAGAGCAGGGAGAGCTGCCTGGGGAAGCTTAAAAGCTCCACTGAACTAATCGCCTTGTTACACAATGTCAGAAAAACAGAAAGATTAATCAGAATAAAATCATAGAAGTCTTCAGACCTACTGTCATTATAAGAAGTGTCTGAGGAATTCAGCTAGTCTGCATGCGAAAGAATACTTTGCTGGATGGACCTGGGCCTACACTGATGAAAATCTGTTTTTACTAATTGGTTCACGGCCAACTAAGTCATTAAAATATTGTCTGTGCCACCGGTTTCCCCGTGCGTCAGGCGCTCTGGGCATCTTGATGTTACGGTTGAGGCTCTGCACACTCAGGGCAACAGCCATTCCCGTCGGTCCTTCCCAGGCACCTGAGGCCTCCAGCACCTGCTCCACTTGTCTTTGGAGCGTGATGTGGGACCTGCTGGCTTGAAAGCTGCCACAGTCACTGAACTAGAGTCTACAGTCCCGTTTTCCTCCACAAAATGTGGTAGCACCAGCAGCAATTGAAGCTTCCTCATGACGTCCCAGAAATGGGTCATCTCTTGAGGAGGAAAGGAAGGCAGTAAATCTGAAACCTTTTTTGCTTATGCTCTCATTGACTTTAAAATAAAATTTACCGCTGACTTGAGTGAAAGATAGGGTGCTGAGTCCCTGCCTTTTCCACAAAGGCTGCCAGCTGTGATGCTCAGGATAGAACTTTCTGCGGTGTGGACCGGAGCCCACTAGGAACAGGGTTGTGACAAGCAAGTGATTTTGCATAGGCCACAAACTCTTTAGATGGGAATGGCTGTCAGATAATCATAATCTGGATCAAATTAGAACCCAAAATCTACTGGAAAAAAAGTCACATGGGACATCCGCAATCTCTAGAGCCAGCTGCTTTTTTAAACAGTCTAAAATAAAATCTACCTCTCTATCACAAAAAGAAATAAACAAACAATGCTAGCTACATGCCACATATGAACACGCATGCATTCATGCTCCTCCTCTGTTTCTGCGCCAGAAATTAACTAATTAAATCCTCTTTTCCCACAGCTGTGTTGACATCAATCAATGGTGCTGTGGAACAAACAAAGATATTATGGCACGAGAAGCTGTTTTACAAAATCGGAATGCCAGCTGTACAAAAAATAAGGGCGAATCAATGATTCCTAAATGGAAAAATACAAAATTAGTAGGGGGAAGAAGAAGATCTTCAGACTTCCAAAAGGACATTATAAACAAAGGAGAAAAAAAAAAAAAAGCAAAAGTTCAAACCATAATAAATGACAGGGACAGGGATTTCACAAGCCTTTGTTGATTTTATGGATGCCTCTGAAATAGAAAGAAAACAAAAGCTTTGTTCAATTCGTAAAGAGACGCATTCTGATATTTTGAAGCACGTCAAACAGTAACACAGTGACGAGCAGCCCCTTGTTGGTGCCGTCGCTTTGTCGCAGCAGGAGGCCCTGCCGGTTGCCCCTCTGCGGCCCCCGCGCTCGGCTCCGCACCGGGCCCGTGGGTGGCCCCAGCTCACGGTGGCTCCCTGCAGCCCCCACGTCCTCCAGGGCCACCCGGAGCACCCGGGGTTGTCCCCCTCGCTCCTTCCCTCGTCCCTCCTTGGTCATGACAGGGCTCAGGGGCGAACACAGGCCCAAAGCTAGAAAACACGCCGGCTCCCGCAGCAGAGGCCTGCTCCTGCATTCATGTGCTACATATCTTTTCTTTTTTAATGTTTACATATAATTCACTACACCCACCGCAGCAAATAACAGCACAACCTATGTAGGCCACACGTATCGTTAGCCTGGATCCAGCTCCAGAAAGTAATAGCAACACGATGGCAACATTCCTCCTTTTGAAGGCGAAAGGGAGGGTGAGGATTGTCCTAGCGCAAGGACTGACGGCCAAACCTTTCCGGCTGCTTTCGCAGCTTGGTTCGGGTGTTGTAAGATAGTCAGGTCTCCCACAAGGCAAAATCCCCTTGCCCCAGGCTGCATCCCTCCTACAACAACTTTCCCATGCCAAACACAGTGTCTGTACAGGCGGCCCCGCGGTCTGCGATGGTAAAACCCGCCCTGCTGCATCTTCATCGATGGTTTGGAGTAACTGTCAGCAGAAGATTCACGGGTACGCGTCAGTAGGCCAAAGCCATCAAACCAGTGTGTTCTTAATGCCTTACTAGGCTCTAGACCAGACCCTTCGTTAGCTTTTCTTTTTTTAACTAGATCTGACAAGTGATCATCTGACATCCAGGGAGGCAGAAAGTGGCCAACTGCCGCTTTCATTGAGCCATCATTTTGTTCGAGGAATTAATTCTGACAAAAAGCAGCCAGAATTATCCGGGGGCATAAAACAGTGGCTGTGGAGAGGAACCCTCCCGCAAAGAGCAGCTCGTGCCTGCCCTCCAGCAGGCAAAACTTGCCCTCCTGCCCGGGTCGGAGTCAAGGCCGCTCATTTTAGGCAGCTCTCGGTGGGTCTGTGACACTAAAAACAACCTGTGGGGTTTAAGTTAGAGGCATCCGTGTCCCTTACTTAGCCCTTCAAGGACAGAGCTCATTCTGTCCAAAGAGCCTGGCCTAGGTCCCAGTTAACGTGCCACAGGATTGTTTTGCAGTCGTTTCCAATAGCAAGTTTTTAAACCTTTGTCTCATAGGTTTATGAACCTCTTGTTTTAGTCTGCTTTAATTCATGTTGAGGTGCTGACATGACAAGTGTTAGGAGGTGTTGGCAAATTTTCCTTCCTGGTCCTGAAATGACAGTCTAGGAGGAGGAAGGGGGGGGATCCTGCGGATTTGTTTTGTGCCTTATATCATCTTATCACAGTTATGTCAACTGAATTCTGTCCATTTATGAAAGGCGAGTTCATGAACGCAATTACTAACAGAAACAAAGTAACGAGTACCTCAAACATGATGTATTTGTTGACCTGTTTATGACCTGATGAACAAATTGTGAGCTTGAAAGCAAGACCGTTGTTTCCAGTTACGTCACCTGGTCTAATAAAAGATATTAC